GCACTGAAAAAAAAGGGATGCATCAGATGCAGGAGCTGCACATTAGAGAACAGAAGGATTGCTGATGGATGCATGTGAAAGGGACTGGTGATGGAGGAATATTTGGGGGGGGGCAGTATAATATACAGGTAACCTTAGACTTTATTTAACTAACCCCTTTAAGCTGTGCCCACTGTTCAGCACCATGAGCGTAGCTTCCATATGTCCTTGTTTCTTAAATTCTATTTGAGAGATATTGTGCTATTGTGACTTGATTTAAAGTGATATTAAAGTCACAAGGATTTTGAGCTTTTTCAAATCACTTACAATGTATACTAATTTTATATGTTTAAACATTTTAGTTTCCTGCAGAATCAGCTGGTCCCCTGAGCACTGGCCCTTACTTACTATTTTAGAGTGACTCCTTTCTCAAGCAGAGTGCTATGCAGTCACCCTTGTGTGTGCTAGTAAGCTGTGTGTGGCTCCACAAACACACAGACACAGCAAATCAAGTTACTCCCCTCCTTCTGGCCCCCTCTCCTCCCTCCTCCAATTTTCACAATTATTCAGAACTATGTCTTTAAATGGCCTTAGTGTTCCTCTGTTATAATTCTGTACCTTTTTCAACATCAACATCAAACACCTTTGAATTATGCAACATAATCCTGTTTAATGCAAATATATGTATGATGCAAAAGAAAACCAAATGAATAACAACCGTGCAAATATAAGTATTCTAATAATCATTTGAAACTGATTCTTGTGTGAGTTGCAGAAGATTGGCCAAGCATTTTATGAAGCCAGCTTAATGATCTGGAAACATTTTTAGTTTGACAAGAATACCTAATGTATTGCTCATTGTTGAGCCTGACCAGAATTTCTTCATTAATTACCTCATCTGTCTGACTATCCACATCAGCTCTTTGTTATCACTGTCCAGTTAGACTTTGTATCCAATTGATAATTTGATCAAGATCATTTGAGAATAACATATATAGAACACATGGCAACCCCTGAGCATGCAAACATACTACCTGATTGTTTAGTCACATTCCATAGGTTTTTTACATTTGTTTATTATTTCTGTTAATTAAAAATGTACAGTATTGGTATGCATCTATGATTCAGACTATGGTAAGGATCTAATATTCAGAACATATTCAACATGAAAAGATACTCTGAAGTCTATGGCACTCACCCATAAAGGTACAAGCTGGGCCCTGCCAAGGAATTTTGTTTTTCATACTATCACTGCTTGAGTGTTTCAGAGCACCCTTGTGTATAATCTCCTGGTTGTTGTTAAAGGGGTGTTTTGGAAATGCTTAATATTGAGCCTGTGATTCCTCAAGCCACTCTAATTATGCACACCCCTGATGCAATCTAATTATCCATGCTGATCATTCAGAAAGAAATGATTAACTCCCCTGTTTAACCCTTACTGTAGTCTATGAAGAAACATATCCAGAACAATGCATTTCTCAAGAAGTAAAGCTACACAGCACAGTATAATTAGCAAGAGGCTGTAGTCCTGCCCACAGGTCAGCTTGAAATCCTATTTAATCAGGCAAAAGAACAAGCATATCACATTGCAATTAAAGAGATGGCACCACTTTCATCCTCTGAAGGATTGTTTTGTAGTGATGCCATTACAGAGGCTTGTAGACAGGCAAGAAACATCACAATGCTCCCCTTTGACTGCTCCGATGGCAGGCGTACTCACAAATTTTACTCAAAAGAAACTTTGATCAGTGCATTAGAAAGAAGAAAGGTGAGGGAAGTCTGCTGTAAAGATGTCACTCATCTCAGGATCCACTTCTACTGGTCTGCCATTTGACCCTAGTCCGGGACCAGGCATTTTCAAATTCCGGCCCTAGTTCTCTTTCTGTGGATGCTGCAAGTGTAAGACCCATAGATCTAAAATCTGAAATAAAAATTCTGACCACTAGGCAGAGGAAATGACAGGACAATTGGACCAAGAAGTTTTTGTAACAGTACTTTTGGGGAAAAAAAGATCAGCGGAAGAGGAGAGCTGAGATGAGGCATGTAAGCAAACCACAATCCATTGAAACACATTTAGGTTTATGTATTAGGAAGTGCAAAGTGCACTGGCTAAATACAATGTGACTCATGGAAACCAATCGGTTTTCATATTTTTCATGATCTGGATGACAAAAATCTGCAATTTGATTGGCTGAGAAAGAAGAATAAACTTTGCACACAGTCACTTAATTTCATAATCTAGATCAGCCTTTCTCAACCAGTGTGCCGAGGTACCCTGGGGTGCCTTCTACCTTCTTCAAGGGTGCCTCAAAATTTTTGTACAGTGCCATGCTTTCCCATGCGGCCGGCAGGCATCTGTGTGAAGGGGAGCTCTTGATGCGAAGGGGAAACTGATATGATAGGTGGGCTCAGATGTGAAGGGGGCTTGTGATGTGAAGGGGACACTCTGATGTGAAAGGAGTAGGCTCTGGTGTGAAGGGGGGCTCCTAGTATGAGGTGGTAACACTGATGAGAAAGTAGGGGGCTCTGATGTGAAAGGGGAGATTCTAATGTGAAAGGAGGAATTCTCATGTGAAGTGGGGCTCCTGATTTTTCTATTTTTGCATTCCCCCCATAATTAAAATCCATACTAGACCCCTATCTGGTATAAAAATTTTAGGGGGCCACACAATTTTTTTAACGTTTAGATTTTTTACATTTTAGACTGGGGTGCTTTGAGAATTTGCATACTTTTAAAGGGTGCTGTGACTGAATATAGGTTGAGGAATTGTTCTAGATAACAGATTTTTTGGTTAAAAGTTTCCATACTTCCACAGCCCCCATAAATAAGTGAGAAGCAGAACTAAATAAGAATGAGGAAACTAGTTATCACTCATAGTTTGGAATTCTGCCATCTGTATCTCTCGGAACACTCAACCACAGTGACAGCTACAATTCACAGAAATAACTGTGACATACTAGACCACACTCTTCACATGAATTCTGACTTATAAATATTTTCCTCAGGGCACATATAATACTGAAGGTAATATACATAGTCATCCACCCAAAGGCAGTTTGGTTGTATTCTGTTTGGTGATCTTGTATACTGATTCACCAGATAATTGGTGCAGTTATTTTTAACCTGTTGTGTACACGTAATTGAAATCCTTTATTGGTATAAATAGAATAGGGAAGGGCTAAAACATATCTTAGATTCTGCGATTTCCATTGACCCTTTTGAGAAGATTTTTTTTTGATTCTCTGCTCTGGTGACTATATAGGAAGTGAACAGAACCATAGCAATAAAAGCACTTTTTAGTTAGTAGAGATAGAAAAGGATAAATTCTTAATAGGGTTTCTCCCAGCCTTCCCCCCGGGGATAGATGACAAACGTCTCCTCAAACTAGGAGCCCCCAGTAGAGCCAGGGCTCACCATTTTCTTAGTGGTTCCTCATGGCCCACTTCGTTTGCCTCGGCTCCCGACCTCACCTCTCAGCCCCTGGATCCGTGGCGAACTATGCAACTATTCCACTTCTTGAAATCCCTTCCCCCCGGCCCAACTCTCCAGACCATTGTCCCCGTTTGAAGCTGAATGCTCCCGAGAAGGCCCGGCCCGACATACCCTGTCCTTCTGCTACAAACTCCTGCTCTGCGGCAGCACGCCTGACAACCTGTGGTTCCTCACAAGGTGGGAGGAGGATCTGGGGATCCAGTTTGCTCCGGGAGAACGTTCGAAACTTCTCACATTATCTTACCAATCCTCCATCAGCAATAAGTACCAGGAGACCGGATACAAACTGGTCACTAGGTGGTACAGGACACCTCAAATACTGCATTCCATGTACCCCCAGACTCCAGATGTCTGCTGGCGTTGCAGCGCCCCCTCTGCGGACATTCTACATATATTCTGGTCATGCCCTTTGCTCACCACATTTTGGGACCAAGTGCGAACCATCACCCAAAAGTTCACTGACCTCCCGGTCCCTCGAGACCCGGCCTTCTTCCTCCTGCATCATAATGACATACCGACCAAGACATACAAACGATCTGTCGTGCGCCACCTGGTTAATGCAGCCCGAGCGTGCATACCGGCTCGATGGAAAGACCCCATACCGCCCAATATACCCCAATGGCTTGATAGGATAAATGACATATACCTTATGGAAGACCTCACCAGCTCGCTCCATAATACATCAGACAAGTTCGGCAAGACCTGGTTTTACTGAATTGAGTTTCTCCGCTCTCCAGCGTATAATGCCCTGCGCCTGGACTCTGGGTCATGACTTACCAAACTGAATCCCCCTATTGATCCTCTCCCTCTGCTTCACCTGTCCAACCAGCGCCCTGGTCCCCCTCTCCCCTTGTTCCCCTCCTGATCTCACAACCCCTCTTTTCTCCCCCTCTACCCTTTCCCCCATTTCACCCGATTTCATACCCCCCTACAGACCTCTGAGGTAGTGCCGCGACCTGACCCTCCTGTGGGCCTCGGCTCCCCCGCTCCTGACCGGATAACTACCCTGGATCCTTACATACTACGAGGTCCGACAGTAGAGGTCTCGCATTCACGCCCCTATGCCACCATCCGGGTCTAGGCCGCGACACCTACTTTTCCATTGTTCCATATGTGTTTTACCCGTTATGTTTTCCCTACCTGTCCATGATGGATGTATATTTTGAGCAATTGATGACATGTATGTACTACATATTTGGACACCCCTTTGGAAAAACCGTTTTTGTATATGGAAAAATACCATCTTAAATAAAGAATTTACAAAAAAAAAATTCTTAATAGGGTTTCTACGTGTATATGTGCCCCTGGTTGGAAAACTCCCTTCACTTTAAGTGAGGGGCCAAATTTTCCCAACATACACACAAATAACAATAAAAACTCACATTCCACTTTAAATTTCCTTAACACTCTGTACAAGCACAGAGATGTCCAATCATGCCTGATGGTCCTGTTATAATCCAGACTGACATAATAATGATCTATGAAAACTGTGATGCTTTTAACAAAGATTTTATGGAAACTTTGGAAACAACCTGGCGACTTTGGATGGATAGAATGATATTCAGCGTCTGCCAGATTCTCTCTGATATTAGGAGAAGATGCTTGGACCCATTTCTGGGTTCTATTATCCCCTGTACTTTAACCACAAATGCTATATCTCAATTGTTGTGTCAGAAATTATAGTTTAGTGTTAACTGGCTGGAAAATATGTAGGCTCATTTCCAATTCATCTCTCGTTAGTATGCTGTTATGTATATCTTTTGTTATATCACAGTCTGTACTCTCCTTGGAAACATATTAGCCCCCTGCGTGGGGACACAAGTCTGTACAGCCCAAATTTGATATACTTTGATAAATTAACTGGAACTAAATCTTTAAAAGGCAGACTTTGAACTAACTCAGGGGACACAAACTAACTGCTGTGTGGATCGGATATTCATTCTTTTGTCCGGTATTTAAAAAAATTGTTCCCTTACAGTTGAGTTAAGTAAATAGGTAGAGTTTCAGAGATTAGATTTAAGACCAATGCCAATATATGTTTTTATAAATGTACTATTTAATCTGACCAAAGGAATTTGATATAATACATTTCTAGAAATAAATGGCTTTCTAGAGGACATGGTGGCTGAAATGTGAGCTCCTTTGCAATCCCATAAGTCAAGTGCCAGTACATGCAAATCTTTTGTAGGCCTCCCTTGTACTGGTGGTATTGTGGCAGATTACCATTTTCCTATTTTATTAAAACATCCCTGGTTGACAGCTTCTACTGTACATCTTCTAAATGGCCCAGAATCTGAGACTACAAAAATGCATAACTGCACACATGAGAGCTTAAGAGTGAAGCATTATATGAAAATCTCTCATTATGGTGTTAATTAGAATTCGCTTGAGAGTAGCTGTATAGGATTATACAAAACTTAAATTAAATGTAAATATCTAAAGTATATGTAAAGCATGTTTTTTTTTCGTTTTGCACAGAGCAGGGAATAGTTAAAGCCTACCTCCGGGCAAATGTGGCCCTTCTGGCCATCGCTACCCACCACATGACTTTCTGCAGTGCCCCTAATATAAGTGTAATTCAGCCCTGGAGACTGGGCCTGCTGCTTATCGATTTATGTTTACACCCCTGGTGGTGACGGCATTATGGTGCTGTAGTATTCTAAAGCCTTGGCGGACCCCACCGCTGGATAAACAACGGCAATGGGAAGTACCCATGTCACAAAAGCAGTGATGTGAGCTCCCAAAGGAGGACATTCCCCCTCTACAGTCCGGAAGATAGAAGATTTGGGGTTGGCGTGTCACTGCGTGTCTGTGGATTCAGTTGAGTAAAAAGGGCTTTTAGTTATTAATTGTAATAATCAAAGTGATTCATTACTGGGGGTGAGAATGTGTCTGGAGATGAGCTTTAACAACTGTTGGGGAGATTTCCGTTTACTTCCTATCCTAGAGAAACAATAGGAAGTGATTGACAGCTGTCACTGGAATAGGTGTCCCATTAACAAGATTTCCCCTCTATTCCTGTTTCAATAACAACTGTAAGATTTTGGATTGTCGATTACTTTCTGCGTTAGTGACAGTGATCAACAGGACACCTAGAGAGGATGAATCAGAATAGACACAGACAGAGTTTTTAACCCTTTAATACTCTATGAAAGACATAAAGAAAAAAAATATGTTGACTTTAGATACACTTTACCTTGACTTTCTGACTTGCAATATTTCCTAAATGGTCTTAGCAGTTCACTTACCGATTTTACCTGAATTTGTTACTTTCTCCTCAAGTTTATCTTGGCTGAATTGGCATCATATGTTGGCAGATGAGCCAGTTGTATGTGTGTGTTAGATGACCAGTACACAAATTGAATTGTCCCTGTTTGAAGAGTTCATAGAGAGGTCTGTCATGAAAAGTGTCCATTAAAGAAAACAGGAAGTACTTACTCAAGGACTCGCACAGTGTGAGAGTGCTCAGCACACGATGGAGTGATGGAAACAGAAAGCCCACGCTTGCCATCTAATGCAGGAAGAGATACCAGAGTCACTGTATGGGGTGACCGAGAGACTGGAGAGTCAATCACTGGAGTCAATGAGATTTGATAGTAGCATGATCCACTGTGACAAACAAAACAAACGCATATTGTTATGTTTCTTCCTCAAAGTTGTACCATGAAAAAAACCTGCTAAGTAACTAATTTTACTAGTAAAATTGCATTGTTCAGATAGGTCTTCATGCTACGTAGCTGTTAATCTAAAGGAGATCGTGTAGCAATTGTACAAAAAGATTTTAATGCAAGTGCCGAGCTTAACATGGGGAGCTTCCTGAAAGGAGGAGAGTTCAGAGAGATGATCTCATCTGTGTGTCTGATCAATCAATATCCAAACTCCAGACTGAGGCGAGGCCTAGACCATCTAATCTTGCTCGACTGCAGTGCAGTCTGTTTTCCCAAGTTCAGATTTAAATGAAAAAAAAAAACGCTTTGTTTTATTTTTTTAACTTTACATTAAATGACATGTGAAAGTGAATACCTTCTGTTTTAAGAAGGCAATGCTTCACTTAATATTATTAAGCTATATCAGGTCTTTTTGGGCCCCTAACTATAATAAGTTATGCTATCTCATTGTATCAAATACTACTAGACAGTGGTTATGCTGTTCATATGCAATGATGAATTCTAACAAGCTGCATGCCAGTTTGATAAACAGTTTTGTATTTCAGGCTTTCCTTTCATTGCTTTGCTATAACTTGACTACTTTACACAATTTATGGAATAAAAGAATCATTTGCAGGGCTCCAACAGCACCTAAAAGTGTTCTTTGGAAAACTCTTTTTTAAAATTTACTATGAAAATTACAAATAAAAGATCTTCTGATTTAACAAGACAATGCTGCGTCTGCGTATGCAAAAGTGGAGACACTTTTGGTTTATTTTGTTTCCCAACTTATCCAGACTGGATATTCTGTCCATGTACAACAAAGATACATGTAAGGCCAGTGCAGGATGTTGTCTTTAGCCCACATAAAATAGTCTCTTCTGTCTTACCAGTACAACTTGGATCTCTCCACCAGAGCATATGTCTCTCCATCACCAATGAACGAGGCACATCGTGAACACAAGAAGCATTCTGGGTGATACTTGTGCTCTCCCGCTACCTGTGAAAGCAAAAATATGATTGGATGAAAATACTGCACAAGAAGCATCAGTGTTTGAGGCCATCTTTAACATTTCTAAATAATGTATTCTTTCTAACAGATGTTTGTAGGGCCCCTTTCACAAGGTCCGATCAGGATGGGATCTAGGGCTGCAGATGACGATTATTTTCCAAATCGATTAGTTAGCCGATTATTATGTTCGATTAATCGGATTAAAAAAATAAATAGAAAAAGGCTCCAGTGATGGACTACTAGTTTGTATTGAGATTGTAGTCCATCATGGGAGCAAGCTTGGAGCGGAGGAAGTGAAAAAAAAGTGTGGTGTGCAATATAGTACATTATACAGCGGTGCAATACAGAATAACACCAGCTATAGAGGAATACAACAAATCCCCGCAATAATACATTATACAGTGCAATGCAGAATACCATCAGCTATAGAGGAATACAACAAATCCCAGCAATAGTACATTATACAGCAGTGCAATGCAGAATACGACCAGCTATAGAGGAATACAACAAATCCACGCAATAATACATTATAGTATAATGTACTGTTGCTGGGATTTGTAGTCCTCTATAGGTGGTGGTATTCTGCATTGCGCTGCTGTCTAATGTACTATTGTTGACTTAACTATGTTGACTTAACTATTTGTTTTGATAACTATAAACACTATTGCTGGGATTTGTTGTATTGCTCTATAGCTGATTGTATTCTGTATTGCACTGTATAACTTATTATTGCAGGGATGTGTAGTCCTCTATAGCCGGTGGTATTCTGCATTGAGCTGTGTAATGATTATACAGCGCAATGCAGAATACCAGCAGCTATATAGTAATACATCAAATCCCAGCAATAGTATATTATACAACGGTGCAATGCAGAATACCAGCAGCTATATAGGAATACAACAAATCCCAGAAATACATTATACATACAGTGCATAATGTATTTCTGGGATTTTAGATTCCTCTATATCTGATGGTACATTGCGCTTTATAATATACAGCACAATGTACCATCAGCTATAGAGGAATACAAATCCCACATTCCCAGCAATACATTATAGAGCACCATGGGGGGGGGGGGGGGGGGGGAGTGCAGGCTTACCTGAGAAGTCTCCCTGAGATTGTGGGCCTGTCTGTCGGCAGCTGCCTTCCCCCCACACCTGCTCCTCCTTGCTTCATCGTGCCGATCATGGATGGGTGGGCAGCGGCGAGTCCATATGAGGCGGGGAGGAGAAGTGCTGTGCGGCGAGGATAAGTAGCGTGCGGCATTCGGCCTGCGGGGAGCCGCGAGCAGGCCAACTAATCGAAAGTTAACGAATTGAAAATGGAAAACGTCGACAACGTTGTCTATCATCAATAATGATCAACTTAGTCGATTAGTTGTTGCAGCCCTAACGGGATCCCCTGCTGATCAGAATGGATGTCATCGTTGTGACATCCACGCCCTTCTAGTGTTTTCCTCCATCTTGTGATGAAGGAAAAGACTGAAATTGCTGGACCCATGTTGATCTATGGGGAATCAGATGTAAACAGATGGGTTTGTTTACATCATATTACGCACGATCCGTCAATATCAGGTCTGTCAAAACGAAACTCAGATTTTTTTTTTCGGACCAGAGGGACCGGGATGTAAACAGGCACCCATCCATTTAGATCTGGCTGCCCATAGACTATCATTGGGCTTCCTATCAGATCAGCCTGAAAAACTGACAGGTGAAGCTGATTTAGGTGCCACTAGCACATGTATCTTTGACCTTGGGGGCAGACAAAACCGACTAGCTCTTTCATGGTAGTAACCGATTTCTTTGGGCTAAAAGAAAAAAAAAAAAAAGGGTACCACACAAAGTGTGCCATGTTACCTCGTCAATTGGTGGGCATTGTATAGGGTGCTATTACATGTGGTTTGGGATAGATGATTGTCTCTGGGCGCAGGATAGATGCATCCAGGGCCAATCATCTATCCCAAAACACATGTAATCATACCATATATGATTACATGCGGACTACTGGTGACAGATGCAGCTGCTGTCATCCTGACATTTACTTCAATGGGTATAGCGGCATCATCTGAATAGTGATACCTGGCATTCCTGTGGCAGAAATCTGTAGGTTCTTGTTGCAAGAATCTCAGAGTGCCCATGCAAATGCACCCTAAAAGACGTGGTTTATTGTGACACACATTTCCACATTAGCTTCCTTTGCAGCTCTCAGGAATAAGTCCCAAGATATCTCAAAGTCGCAAAAACAAGTTTCTCCTAGAAAATTCTGTCAGGTGCAGTGACCACAGGTCAGAACAGGGAGCAGGTAGCTATATAATGCCCAACATGTGTCACTGAATGTTGGTCCCGCTCTAAACCATGTCTAAATGGTAAAGTATCTCCCCTCAGGGCCCCCAAGCCCAATATATTTTATTAGCCCTGGCCCAGGGGAGCATGCCTCCTGCCGCCCTCAGCCCAGTTTTCCCCTGCACTGGCATTAGCAGACATGTATTTACATTTTCTAACAAGCTGTAACATACTTCACATTGTCTTGAGAAAATGCATTATTTTTGTCTCATATAGGCCTTCATATTAAAAAAGAGAACACAAGGCTGATAAGAGAACCATAGTTTCTAAAAGAGATTTGCATGTATTTGACACTGACACTGTATTAATGAGTCTTCTGAATTTCTGTTGAGACCCTTGTGGCTTTATGCTCTTGGGTCACTTCCAATAAAAATGCAAAATCCAGTTTTAAATTGGCAGAGTGAATAATCATCTACATGTGTATGCCTTTGTGGTCCTGATTGCAGCATTTGGAAGAAAAAATGAATGTTCATTAAGGTTCTCCTTCCAACTATTCCCCCGCCTCCATTCCCTTGATTAAAAACTTGCTCTCTGCAGCAGTGAAGCCACTTTTTAACCTTTATTGTAGGGAATGCCTGACGCACAATAAAGAAACAACAAGTACATATGTATAAGACCTGGGAGAGAGAAAGCAGTTGCTTTTATTATTTATATACGTACCATAACTAGTCCTTTAGTGATATGCTCTGAGCATCCCTGACACATGCCACCAAACCGTGCCCAGTAGTGCTTTTTACAGAAAAGCCTTCCATCCTTTTCATAGTACCGATGGGACAAAGACACACCACAGTCACTGCATCTGTAAACAAAGAATGAGATCACTATTCAAAGCAAATGTGATGTACTTCTTTTAACAAGAACAATTTTCTAAATAAACAAAAATTGTAATTTTCCATGGCTATACCACAACAGACAAGTAATAGCACAAGTGTGGTAAAAATGTATACCACAGTCCTAAGGACACAGAAAGAGGAAATATCCTGGCCACTAACAATGAGAAAAAACAGGCATATCTTTACAGATGCATCTTCGTATCCATGCTGCTGGTGTGCACATAGCAACAACCTACATTTACTTCTACAAAAAAACGTGGTCTGTAATACATATGAAGCTAGGTTATTAAATACAAAGTGCATCCCTTGAAACAAATGTTATAATATTGTAACTGTTGATGCTTGGGTATTTTGTAACCATAAATTGAGTATAGAAAAGAAATGTTCTTGTAACCATGGCAGAGGATCTACATGTTTAATGACATTTTCACCTTCACTTTTAGAATGCTTTATTAAAATAGTTTTTAAAAAAAAGACTAGATAGATAGATAGATAGATAGATAGATAGATAGATAGATAGATAGATAGATATTGTTACCAATGTAATTTTTACTGTATTTTAAAGCACACTTGTCATTACAGAGGCGGCTGGTTGTGTCGGACTTAATACTTCTGAGTCACAGACAAAGAAGGTCTCAAAGACTAGGCATCAATACAACAGTTAAACAACTAGCATTTTTGAAAGACCAGTTTAGCAATTTATTATATTTCTTACAGGTACTTTATACAATACTGACATTTCACACAGCACTGTACATACTTCACAGCAGTCCCTGCCCTTACGCAGCTTACAATCTATCTCACATACATACATGGGTAGATTTAGACAGGAGCCAATAGCAACCAATATATTTCTATGCGGACAGGTTTCCTTAAGCCTAGAAAAACCCTACTGCATTGCAGTAATATGCAGCAATGCACTTTGGTGGACTGCAGTGCATATCATTTTGAACGGTGCCCCAATGCTCGTTCAAAAACACAACACAAGTGTGTAGCAGTGCAACACACACTACCATAATTTGTGATGTTCTGCTAAAAATGGTGCATGCACTTTTATGTGTATTCTTTTGTGTTACATTAATGGACTGCCTCTACCAAATGCAATTTAATGTTCAACAAAACGCGCATTAGTGCAAAATGTTTTAAACACAATGCACCACAACGCAATGGTGTGAATGGGTGCTAATTTACAGGACCTGCAGAACAAAAATATATATAGTCTTGGACTTTCCCATATAAAATGTACCTTACCCACAGGATATAACAAAAATCATAATCGCCATATTCATGTCTACTTATAGTAAAAATTTATAAAAATGCAAAAAAGCTCTACTGAGTACTGATACGTGATTTAGTGCAGTTCCCTATACCAGACACTAGATGGCGCCTTCCGTATGTCACACTGTTCCAGTGTAATGCTGCCCACAACAGGGCCGAATGAAGAGCTGTCAGACTACAAACAGCCAAAAAAGGCTTTTTACCTCTGCTGTGCTTCAAGTTAGTTTATCTGTGCCAAACCAAGAGCCCATTGTCATGTATATATACAATATAGATATGCAATAGGGTATAACTGTCCTCGAAAGTCACACATAATTGTTTAGACTCTAATAATTAAAAATATTTAAACTGGTAAACAAATAAAAATAAATAAAAAGACCTGCCCTAGTGGAGAGATTGTGAAGTCATGAAATGATCCCAAAAAACTAAGCACTGTGCAATATATTTCTTTGAATTAAGAAATACGCAATTCAAGCACAGAGGAGCAAATAGAGACCTGGAACAGCAGTGGGCAGTACAATGATGAACTCAACAAAGCTCAATTAAAAGAGTTAACTGCTAAAAGATAATAGGGTAGGTTACTGGGAAGCTGAATCATATGCTGGGCACTGATATATCCTAAGGGGTTCAGTGGTTATATAATGTATCCCGATCTGAAACCCAAGTCCCACTAAGCCATTACAAAGTCAAGTGATTCTATCTAGGGCTGCAACAACTAATCGACATAATCGATTATAATCGATTATTGAAAAAGTTGTCAACTTTTTCAATCACACTCTTCTGATGGATTCTCTATAATGGTTATAACGGGGCTGATCTTATAAATGGACAATATTCTTTGTAGACTACAAGTTTTGCGGGTGCAGTATGTTGTGCATTTTTTGAGCCTTTGACATGCATTTTCATTGTTACCGATGTAGATTAATTTATGTTCCAATTTAAACCACACAAAAAATGCAGCAACCAGGACTTTTTCCAATCCACCAGACCTGCTATACACCTAAACTGCACAAGTGTGAATAAAGACTTATACCTAGGAGACTGTTAAGTCATTTATACATCCACTTAGAGCCTCCACTGATAGAAGTTCATAAGTACTCTCTATAAGAAAAGGCTGGAAGAATTCAGCCTTGGGCACCAGGTTATACAGTATCTAAGATGTACATTGCAGCTTCATATATTTTTGAATTTCAAACCTAACATTTCCTCATAAAAGTGTACGTACAGACAAAACTTTATTATTAGATTTTTGTGGTTTGTGTAACAGTGGGGAGATAACTTCTCTACTTGGCTTTTGTCGTAGAGAAGAAAATGATGGCAGCTCTTAAATGTTATCACAACAGAAACATATCGGAAATCTTCCAATAGTGACACCCCTGTCCTGTGGACATCTGTGTAAGAGGGGATTTTACCTCACATTGCGCAGATTTCTTCTCACTTCCTGTTCCGTCTCCATGACATGAGGGGAAATGTCCTCAACAGGACACAGACAGCAAAAAATAAACTGCCAGGGGTTTTTACCCCATCCTACCCTATACAAAACTAAAAATAAATGTTGGGTATACATACAGCTTACACTGGATTTCTGCACTCTGTATATACATTATCCATTCTGCAGACACTGCTGTGTGGCAGGATCGAGATTTAAATAAAATGTGTTTACATTTTACAGATCAGTCTTCAGGGTCTGTAATAGAAGGGATTCAGGTGGCTTTACAGTCACCTGATCACTTCTATATGCCAGTAATACTGCAGTACTCCGCCACCACCCAAGCCGCGGTTTTCCCATGCTCACCTGGGATCCGTAGAGGCCTGCATTAAATTTCAGGATTGATAACTGAAGAGAGGCAAGAAGCATCCGTTTCTCGATTTCTTCTGTGTTGTATGAACCTAGAAAAGCTTAGAGCTGTCAGGATTCAGAACTGTAAGATCCTGGCCAATGGGCCAGAAAAACAGCTGTTTGAGTACAGTCTGTATTTAATCAGTTAGAATGAAGTACAGCGGAAACATTAGGGATATAATAGACCCCTAATGTCTCCATAAAGAGGACCTGTCACCAAATATTACTGTCACATAGGGGGTGGGGGGTTCAGCCCCCTTGTGATATTAAGAAAGTTAAGTGAAAAAAAGTAGAAAAATAAAGTTTAATAAATCAAATAAAACGTTTAAACTCCCCTCCCCGCACATATGGATAGAAACGCACATGTAGGGTATATGTACGTGGTGATTAAACAATACATATTAGGTATTGTCAAACATGAAAGAGTGAGAGGAAAAAATGATGGTTAACTTTAAACGGATGAGCTGTAAAGTTTTTTTGTGGTTGTGTGCAATTTAATTATATTTTTACTGAAACTATAGATTTGATAAACTGTTGTGCTAATGTCTTCTATGGGTCCTCTGGTTTCAGAAAATATATAATATTTTGGGGTTTTGTATGTTTTCAAGTTACATAGTTAGTCAGGTTGAAAAAAAGACACATGTCCATCGAGTTCAACCTATAGAGATATGAAAAAAACCCAGAAAAGCCTAAACAGAACACTATACCCACAATTACCCCCTGTTGATCCAGAGAAAGGCAAAAAAACCCCCTTCAAAGCATTGTTCAATTTGCTCCAACAGGGGAAAAAATTCCTTCCTTATCCCATAAGGCAATCGTATATTCCCTGGATCAACTATCTCTGATGCTTAATCAACCTATGAGAGCTTGTTCACACCAAATGCAGACCAGATCTGCATGAGTTTCTGCACACGCAGTGCAGTATGTTTTGCTGCATTTTTTTTCCAGCCTAAAATGGGCTTTCAGTGCGTTCCAGGGTGTTTGCATGAATTGTTGATGCATTTGCATGCGTTCCAGAGCAGGACAAATAGGGCTTGCTGCAGTTTTTTTACATGCTCTGGAACTGAACACTGAGGTGTGAACTAGAGCCCAAAATACCATTGGAATACATTGGACGCAGTTTTGATCCGTTCTGCAACTGCTCTGTCCGGCTCCTGGAACGCGCTTGGTGTGAACTAGCCCTGAGAACTCAATATCCAGCAATATTCTTTACATTTAGGAATACATCCAGATTTTTTTAAAAACAAGATAAAAATAAATATTGGCATGCATGCGCAAAATGGGAAAGGCAAAAGGGTTAAAGGATGATTACATGCAGCGAGTGATACCAATCACTCAGCTACTAATGCACTCTAGCACTCTGTTGCCGGACTAAAATTAGACATTTCAGTAACTGTACCTTAATCTGTAGTCAAAGAAAACACAGACTACTTTGCAGTAGAAGAGCAAATGTGGTGTATATACTGAAGCCTATGCTTTTAGCCTCCAATCTCTCTGCTTCCTACACAATCACAAACTACATTTTAAAGGAGAACTATGAGGTGAGTGACTTTCATAGTTCGAGCCGACGTTTGATAATGAAACTATCACACGTCGGCTCAATAGATCGGGAAGTGAGCGAACACATACCGTCGCTCGCTCACTTCTCGATCATGTCCCTGCAGAGCCGTGACTGTCACTCACCGCTCCCTGCAGGGATTCCCCCCTCTCCGAACCTCCAGCGCTGACTGGAGGAACAGAGAGGGGGCGGGTACAGCTGGCTCTGCCTCTGGATAGGCAGAGCCAGCTGTCACTCACGCAGCTGGGTGGATCTCGACAGTAATGTCGGGATCCGTCCCGAATGCGGCG